AGATCAGGAGAGAAAGTTATAACCAAAATACTAAAAGCTGTCTGGCGGAAAGAATGTATGCCTATGCGGTCGCATAGTATAAACTCTATGCGGTCGCATAGAATCCTCCCGAGAACTTTTTCTCAAATTTTGTTTACTCTATGCGACAGCATAAGTTATGCCTATGCGGTCGCATTGGTATAATCTGGGGGCCGTTTTGCAGTTTTCTTATACGATTGAAACTCTATTGGTAACCTAATTTCCACGCAATTTAAATACGAAAGAACGTCCAGAAGAGGGGGAGAACGTAATTGGAGGCACAAAAACACAATTTTGGAGGATTTGGAGAGGAAGAACAAGGTAAAAACAAGACAATCCACTTCAAGATTCAAGATTTCACTTCAAGAATCAATTGGATGATGTTCTTCCTTGGTTATAATTGTTGTTTTTTTTATTTCCAATTATGTTAGGCTAGATTTTCATGTGCTAGGAGATCGATGTACCATGTGATTTGAGTTTTATATTTCTAGTTTTGCAATTTGACATTAAAACATATTTCTTTTGTTTTGAATGATTTATATGCATTTATTGTTTCCGCAATTAAGGGCCCGTAATTGTGTGAGTTTGGGTGATTTATTCTTGCATTCGAGAGAATTGGAATAGATTCGACATAATATAAATCATCGTAGGGTCCGATAGGGGATAAAAATATACCGCTATGCCCTACGTGAATCTTTAAGTGTTCATAAAACTACATGCATTTTTACATATGCACTTGTCATAGAAATATAGGCCAGTGGTATGTAGAAATAGGTTTGATACATCTCGAGAGAGAGTATTGGATAGACTTAGGAACATTGATTCGTCAAAAATTGAATTATGTTGTCATATCGTGAAACTAGAGTTTAAAGTGATAATTGCATGGAAAATCGTGATCCTAGTGTGTTTAATTTCTATTGATTACAACAAACGTGCGTTCTCAACAATTGATTTCATTTTAGAGTTTTAAATTATTGTTTTGCTTATTAATTTCATTACAATCATAAAAGCTGCATAAGTAGGGTTTTCTTTCCAATTTTAGAGTTTTAATTAGGTCCACATTCATTTTGAGTGATTTGGTTTCGGTTAAGGTCGAATAAGTAAAATTGAACTAACCAATCTCTGTGGGACGATACTCGGACTCATTGAATCCACTTTATTACTTGTTAACGAACCGTACACTTGCGGTAATTTAAATCGAAAGAAAATATTTCGTGAACAAGCATATTTAAATGATGATCTATTGGTGATTGTTATTTAAGATATAATATATATTGTTGTTTATTTTGTTTTATCAAGTGTAAATCCGATAAAATCGTGTCTTAAATTGCAGATGTTTCATCTAATGATTGGATCCTCTAATTTGGGTGAGAATTTAATAGTTTTAGAATTGTTGTTTTCTCAGACCTTTCAATTGATGCAGCCTTTGATACTATAACTAAATGACAAATGAAGCATATAACCTGACTACCACAAGTGATACTGTTCCTCTGTTAATTATGAATTTGAAAGCCCTGATTTACATAATATGTATTTATATCTACGGTGGCTTGAAAGTAAGTGCAAAATTATGCTTTAAAACCAAATATTTGGAATGTCGAATGCCACATAATAGTGACACGACCCGTCCCAGATCAATTTGTAATGAACTCGACATATGTCCTGCACCGATAGTAGATACCAACTAAGTGTTGGACTCATCACCAAAGCAACCTTAACCTACTTTGACTGTGATGTATTTTTAAAAGAATTTTGATAGGATTCCTTTAGAAATATAGACTAGAACCATTTGAAAATAATAGTCAATTTTCTCAAATCTGTACGTATATTTTAAAATGGTGTACACCAGCTCGTCAAACACAACTCTTCAAAATAAAGTGTACAGGAATGATATTTATGCTCCAAATGCACAACATTTACAAAAATGCAG